ATCTGTAGAAGGGTATTAAAGGCTAAACACTCTTAGGCATTTGGTCCTGGATGATGGCCATTCCTATCTGGAAACATGCAATAGTACATATTATGGATCTCTGATTGCTTATGAATAGTTATGATTTTAATTAAAATAATTTGTTTTATATTGTTTTGAGGTTTACATTTGGTTGCCCAGAGTTGCAGCGTTTACAGTAAGATGGATGGCCATATAAGTTTCTTCAATAAAATAAATAAAAGTACCATATATTCCGGCATATAGGGCGACCCGGCGTATAAGATGACCCCCTAGTTCGATGCCGGGTCGCAAGACGATCGACGCCGAGTCGCATGCCTAGAAAGTCATCTTATACGCCGGAAACTACCGGTATTTCCGGCGTATAAGACGATCGATGCTGAGTTGCATGCCTAGAAAGTCGTCTTATATGCCGGAAGCTACGTTATTTCCGGCATATAAGATGATGGATGCCGAGTCACATGCCTAGAAAGTTGTCTTATACGCCAGAAACTACCTTATTTCCGGCGTGTAAGACGACTCGGCGTATGACGACTCGGCGTATAAGACGACTCCCGAGTTCGGAGGCTGTTTCGACGCTCTCAAAAGTCGCCTTATACGCCGGAATATACGGTATTTAACTAAAGCAGTAGGCGTGAACTTAAATGGACTCCAGAAGATGGTAGAGCACAGGAAGGCATGGAGGAACATTGTCCATGGGGTCGCGATGGGTCGGAGACGACTTCGCAACTAACAACAACAAAATTAAATTAAGTTGATTAGAATTAAATTAAACATGATTAAATTTACATAATTAAACTAATACGTCAGTTGCTGGCCTGTGTAAGACTTGCAACCTGGGGATCTTGCAACAACTTTGTTTGGGTGTTTTAAATGCCGTTGGTGACATGTTATTTGTATGCTCTGATTGGGTTAAAATTAGCACTTGTAAAAAGAACGTAGTGAAGCTATCCAAGAATATTACAAACAGCTTTTAAACGTGTTCAAACAACATTTTGGCATTCCCGCACCATTACAAATTTCCTCGCAGCTTGTTAAGGTGGCCTTTTGTAAATTGTTTCTTTCCGGAAGTTTCCCCTCAAACTAAACTCATCAAAGATAAGTGGAAACCCACACTACTGAGGGCTGCTATTCATTTTGCTAGATCAGTGGTTCTCAACCTGTGGGTCGGGACCCCATTTGGGGTCGAATGACCATTTCACGGGGGTCGCCAAACAACGCAGTCCGCCATTTTTCCCCCCTTTTCCTTAGCTGTGCTACTCCCTTTTATTCTATTGGCTTTTGAAAGCCAATAGAATAGACTCTCTTGAATAGAGTCTAATTCTATCGGCTTTCAAAAGCCAATAGGAATTGTCCAGGCTGTCTCTGCCCTGCTGAGCCCGCCAAAAGTCTCATTCTGCAAACGGTGCTGCACCAGTTGAGTAGTCCTCGACTTACGACCGGCTGAGTAGTCCTCGACTTACGACTGGTTGGGGGTCGCGGCACTAAAAAGGTTGAGAACCACTGTGCTAGATCATTGGAAACAACCAAATAATAACAATGATACTTCCCGGCACTCCAAATTACATCCTTGTAACAAATAGGTCTTAACCTATTACCTCCCTCTGTAGGGTGATACACCTTCCTTAGGTAGTATAGAAAAATTTAGTATCAAGGGTGCCACACTATGTAAAACAACATCTACTGCAGATATGAATATGGCCATCATAACTACCTTTATAGAATGGTTTTTGTTTTGTGTTTGTTTTCCTGTTTTTAAATGTTTTTAACAATTTGTAAACCAAGTTGGACAGCATATAAGTTTAATAAATTAAATTACATCTGATAAAATAAGCCTGGATAATGATACTTGCCTTGCTGATATCGTAAGTTACACTTTTGAGGAAGTAGAAGAGGTGGAAATATTAGGAAAAATAAAGGCCCCTTTTCCATTATCTCTATACAGACAGGTTATTTACACAGAACCCAAGGTAATAAATTAGCATGCATGTCAGGATATTTTAAGATGGGGAAATGACCAATCAGTGTTTTAAAATTCGTAGGGAACAAATTTCCTTTATATGAAAATGTAAAGGGAAAGGTAGGGCTGTCTAAAACAGTATTTCTCAACCTTGACAATTTTAAGGCATGTGGACTTCAACTCCCAGAATTCCACAGCCAGCATTGCTGGCTGTGGAATTCTGGGAGTTGAAGTCCACATGCCTTAAAATTGTCAAGGTTGAGAAACACTGGTCTAAAAGCTTGGAATTTGAACTATGTTCTATGTTCAAAATGCCCCTTGGAGTGTCCAGAAGTTCTGATTGCCAAAATGCTCCACACATTTTGGAAATTTTGAGGTTTAAATAAAGCTATTTTGAACTTGAAATATGTTAAAAGGGATCAGACCCAGCCCATTTTTAATGCAAATCAGGTTCTAAGTATAATCCCCCCTCACCTCAGTTTGCATCTTCTTCTTGTGCCATATCTGTTATCGGACGTTGGTGATCTTGTTGGCAATCCTGTTTTTATCAGCAGCCGCACGAAAAAGTGCTGCTGCGTTTTGTCCAAACCAGTCCCTTAGATTTTGAAGCCACGATGTTCTTCTTCTGCCTGGACCTCGTTTGCCTTCAATCTTTCCCTGGAGGATTAAATGGAGTATGCCGTATTTTTCTGGGTGTCGCATCACATGTCCGAAATATTCTAACTTTCATTTTTAATTGTTTTGATAATTTTCCTTGGCTTTCCCAGGCGGCTTATCACCCCCTCATTTCTGATCTTGTTAACCCAGCTTATACCTAACGGCTGCCTGTAAATCCATATTTCAAATGCTTCTAGTCTCTTCAGGTGGCCTTCTGTCAGAGACTAACTCTCTACTCCATACAGCAGGATAGAAAAAAATATAGCATCTGACAAGCCTGATTTTCAGTCTTAGGCTTATGTCGTGACTGCAGAAGACCTTTTTCATTTTGAAGAATGCTGTTCGAGCTTTCTCTATCCTTGTCTTTACTTCAGTGATCATGTCCCAGCTTTCATGTAGATTAGAATATTAGAATCGAGGTGTGTGATCCTTTCAACTTTTTGGAGTGGTATTCCTTCTGAATTTATTGGTCGTAAATTAACGGGTTGTTTGCTGATGACCATGATCTTGATTTTTGAGGTGTTAAGCTTCAAGCAATATTTTTCAGATATTTCTGTGACTCTGTTGATGAGGAGCTGAAGGTCTTCATGTTTACCGGCAAGCAGAACTGTATCGTCAGCATATCTTAAGTTGTTGATCCAAACAGTTTGCATAGGAATTTGAAATACTTTTGTACCCTTAATTTGTACTTTCTGAAGACTCTGACTGGTTTGGACAAATGAAGGATTCTTTTTTTTAAAAAAAAATACCTTATTGGTTTTTTAATTTTTAAGAAAAAGTACTCAGGACACACAGTGGTGTTTGGGTAATCAGACATTCCAAAGTAAAAACATAAATAAACAACTCAACTCAATACATTCACTGTCTCCTCTCTATTTCCCTCAAATAACATAATACATTTAAAATATTCCTTTTCTAAATTAAATTTCTATTACTATTAAACCTGTTTTAGAACTTTATCAGTTTACAATTACCAAAATCAAATTTCACTTTAAATCAACAGGTTATCAATTCAGGTATCCCTTCCAGATATATTCTAGTTCTTAATTTCTCTCATCCCTCCTTTTATCACCAATCTCATTTATTTCTTCTTCCATTACACAATAGCTATCTTAGTTAAAAAATAATGTTAAATCTTAATTCACTTCAATTCATTACAGAAACTTCAAATTTCATCCAATTGATTGTCATACCTTATCACATCTATGTTATTGTACAAAAAAAAATCATCTAAGTTAAAACACTCCATTAATTATTAAAACCATCCCAATCTAAAAAAATCAACATTTTTTCAATTCCAATACATAATTTTCATCAAAATAAATCTGTTATTCCAAAAAGTATTCTTAATCTATTTAAAATATCTTTTCTAAAAATCACTCTCATATATATATATATATATATATTTATATTTTTTCTTGCTTCTAACTCTAAATCATAATCCTTAAAACAAACCATAAATCAAACATTGCCTTTAAATCCATTACACAATTTTAAACTTCTCTTTTCAGTCTAATTCTGGCTTTTTTCCTGTGCAAAGCAGGTTTCCATAGGGACGCTTCCCTTTCAGCCAGTAGATCTGTCTTTGTTGCTTGCATTAGCCTTTGAAATAATAGCAATCCCATCCTCTGCATTAGATGTCTATTTCTCTCCTCCTTGAAGGGTCGTTGCTTTGTAGTTTGAAGTCTCAGTCTTTGCTTCTTCAGTTCCTCTAAGTTGCAGATGGAAGGTTTGTAAGCTAGAATAAATTCCTCTTTTATCTCTGTTAATTCCTCTTCTAGTATGTTTTGATTTATACCATAGTCAGATGTAACCTGGACATCCATTTGAACATTTGAAGTGAAATTTCTGGATCTTAGTTCTGTAGTAAACTTTTTCATTGTAGCATATATTTCTGCAGTGGCCTCATAGATCTTTTCCAATATAAATGTACAGACAAATGAAGGATTCTTGAAGCCTGATTTTCCCCGCAGATGGATCTTGTAATTCAAGGAGAGTCATAAAAGAGTAAGGGATTAGCAGAAATGGAGGCATGTGAGTAACCATAGCATTACTTCTAGTACTGGCTGAGCAAGTCATGTTTCTGATTCATTGACCTCAATTTTGGAAAATTGTTGGAAAACTGGATTTGCTTTCTTGCTGAAGCAGTATTAAAAAAAAAGGTGCGAGGGACTATGTCTCAGGTATGTAATGTCCTCTAATGGGGCAAGTTAACAGAATGAACATTAATCTGGGGCAGGTTTTATCTCAATGTCATTTACAGTTTTATTTTATGTGAGGTTTTCTCATTTGTAAGTAGGATTTGAAAGGGCAAACAATTAACATTTAAATAAATAGCTTGAACTGGTGCACGAATCTCTTTCAGATTGCTGCAATTCTCCGGAAACGAAAATGTGATTATTATTTGAACAAGCTGCTTCCTGAAATTCTGCAATCAACATCCTTCCTTACAGCAAATGGAAGTCTTTACATTCTGTTTTTCTGCGTTTTAAGGTGATTTGATTATACATTTTTGACCAAATCAGGAGGATGATGAAATAACCTGGTTTCATCTTCCATCACACCCGGGCCTTTACTACTCACCGACTGCCCCACGCAAAGGGTTCTAACAATTTTCTTATTTTTACAGAATATTTATTACATTTTTATTTACGGTTCTCTATATCCATTGTTCGCTGTTTGGGAAATGTCATCCCGCAAGGGGGTACATCAATTTTAATCAATAACAAATTCATTGAATGTTAATGTAAATGCTTGGTCGGCTTTAAAGTTTTCTCCTGTGTTAACAAACATGACTTACCATTATGCCAGTGTTTCTCAACCTTGACAATTTTAAGGCATGTGGACTTCAACTCCCAGAATTCCACAGCCAGCATTGCTGGCTGTGGAATTCTGGGAGTTGAAGTTCACATGCCTTAAAATTGTCAAGGTTGAGAAACACTGCATTATGCAAATGCACGTGGTCCTTTGTGTTAAAGTAAACCTTTGAAATATAAGGCAGTAACATTGAAGTTCCTCCTGGAGGTGTTAGAACTATGAATGTTATGAGGTTCTTTGAAGTGTTGTTAAGAGCACTTCTGATGATGGACCAAAGAGGAGGAAGAAAGCACACTTAGTACTTTCCACTACAACCTCCCACATTGTTTCCTAACCTAATCCTCTGCAGACAGTTTTGGGAGACACAAAGCGATTGCCAGGCAAAGGACGAATCTGAAAACCACGTCCCTTTCTTGCTTTAGGCCAGTGATGGCGAACCTTTTAGAGACCGAGTGCCCAAACTGCAACCCAAAACCCACTTATGCATCGTCGGGTGCCGGGTGGGTGTGGCCCATTGGGTGGGCGTGGCTGCGGTGGTAACAGCAGACTGGGTGGGACTAAAAAGTTCAATCAATCGATTCCAACTTTGCAAGATCTTTTTTTCCCGCGAGAAGTTGAAATTGATTGATTGAACCTTTTTTTTTTTTGTACATGGTGACGGAGGCCTAAAGTGAAAAAGTTTTATAAAACCCAGCTGAAGGCCTAGGACTGGGGCAACGGCGCGAATCCCCACAGAGAGGGCTCTGAGTGCCACTTCTGGCACCCGTGCCATAGGTTCGCCACCACTGCGTTAGTAGGAGCATCTGCCAAGTATAGTTCTGCTAACAGGAACCCTGGATCCAAAGTATTTTCATCCTGCGGGTCCCATTTATTTATTTATTTATTTATTATGAATGAATGAATGAATGAATGAATGAATGAAAACATGACCTCCTTTTCCTGGCCACGTTGAACGTAACTAATTCTACCTTTCATTGTTTTAGGCGAATACTGGGAAAATACTATTTTTGGAGTCCTGGTTTCGGTGCTGCTTTACCGGCATCCTATATGGCCATTCTTATTGAAAGGAAGAGCAGGTATGTGTTTTTACATCCTTTACAAACAGTGGTAGTGACAGATTTTATCTTCCTGGGCTCCAAGATCACCTCAGGTGGGGACTGCAGCCAAGAAATTAAAAGACGCTTGCTCCTGGGGAGGAAAGCTATGGGAAATCTAGGCAGCATTCTAAAAAGCAGAGACATCACCCTGCCAACAAAAGTGCGTATAGTCAAGGCCATGGTTTTCCCAGTTGCAATGTATGGCTGTGAAAGTTGGACCATAAGAAAGGCTGAGCGCCAAAGAATTGAGGCCTTTGAACTATGGTGCTGGAAAAGACTCCTGTGAGTCCCCTGGACTGCAAGGCGATCAAACCAGTTAGTCCTGGAGGAGATCAACCCTGACTGTTCTTTAGAAGGCCAGATCCTGAAGTTGAAACTCAAGTACTTTGGCCACCTAATGAGAAGGAAGGACTCATTGGAGAAGAGCCTAATGCTGGGAAAGATTGAGGGCAATAGAAGAAAGGGACGACAGAGAATGAGGTGGCTGGATGGAGTCACTGGTGTGAGCTTAAATGGATTCCAGAAGATGGTAGAGGACAGGAAGGCCTGGGTCGGACATGACTTTGCAACTAACAACAACAAACAAACAGCATTGTTGTTTATGTAATGATGTTATCCATTCAGTCGTGTCCAACTCTAGATGGTTCTGTGGGCCAGGTCTCTCCATAACCTCCAGTCTTGGACAGCTGCTTATAGTTGTTCTGTGCTCTGACTGGTGTCAGTTTTCATGGTGTCTAGCCACTGTGTTCTTTGACGGCCTGGTTTCCTTTTATGTTTTTGTAATATACTGTATCTCCCACTGGGGTGTGATTCAACCACAGTAATCAATGAACAGATAAAACAGCACTTAAAATGATTCTAACTCATCACACTCAATATATGCTGCAATATTTTTATGGGCCCCATGAAAATGTTTATTTGATTGTAGGGTTCTAAACCTATCAGTTGTCTAACTTTGTAAAGAGGATTATTGGCTTCTGTTCTTGTTCTTGGTGGGAGTTACTCAAATCAATTTTACTTTAATTTACTCATATCAATTCTACAGTTAATAAGACATTACTACAGGATCAGAGGCAGCATGATTGTAAATATCAGTTACTAGGAAGTACTGATAGGCAGTTACCATCATGTCCTGTTTGTGGACTGCTCAGAAGAATTTGATAAGAAATACAATATTGAACCAGATAAACTTGCATCAAATGCTTTGTGGAATTTATATATACTGGCCTTGTTTTGCTCAGTTTGAGCCTCAGCACTCATCTTTATTAGTTTCTGCTTGTACAATTTTTAATGGTTCTTTCCTAATGTTTCAAATTCTTTTGCGTTGCACAAGGATGCACTACACACAATAAATATATCAAGATGGTATTGCTGGAAATAATGTTAGAGAGATTACAGAACTGGGATTGGTCAATTAAGGTTTAAAGGTGTTCGCAGAAGGGGAGAATTTATGAAGATAGTCACATTCCTAGAGTGGGAAGGGATATATGATCAAAAGATACTCCCTCTTACTCTTATCTGTCTGATTTGGATAATTTCCTGGAAGGTCTTCTTTGAGAACCATGGCCTTTTAAAGGAGCACATTTCCAGGGCTATGCAACCATACCTTCTCGCCTTTTTGATGTGATGCATCAGTGCTGCTCGGCTATACATTTCACCGGTCCAGAAATCACGACACCACCCTTCATCTCTGTATCCTGTTGCTCCATTTGTTCTCACCACATAACTGAGGCTAACCACCCACCCTTCTCCAATCACCTGCTTCTCCTCAGGGCTCCTATAGACATTCCTTGGAATGAAGCCCTTTGCTTTTCCCCTCCTGCTAGGCTCATGTTGTTCTCATCGCTAGCCGCTCTTTACAGCCGAAGGCGTCACAAGAGAGGGCAAAAGGGATTAGCTGAGAACAGGTGCAGTATTCACGAAGGCCTGTGAGGTTCCTTGAAAGGAAATGGCCCTGGCAAGAAGCTTGGCCTATAGAGATCTCCAAGAATTAATGAGGGGAAAATGGGTGGGCTATCTCCCCCCCCCCCCGGTCTGTGGGTGTGATTCTTGCTCTGCAGGGTGTATGTGTCATCTATCACTCAAAATACATGTCTGCTAGCATGAGGGGAGCTTACCAAAGGTGCGGCATCTGTAAATTGTAGGCAATCAACCGCATCATCACCTGAGGACAAAGTAAATCCAAGCCCCCCCCTTTTTTTTTTTCACCAAAAGCAACTGCAGGGACTTGTGTCGATGCCCAGTTCCCTCCCTGCTCCCAGTCTATTTTGGAGGACAAATCAGAGACAGGTTGTATTCCAAAACGACAATTGAGAAAAGATTTTGAGCTACTATCTTGAGTTCTGGAAAATATGCTGTGATTGCTTGAGTTGGCCCCTTCATTAAAATCCTTGCCGTACATTCAGCACTGAAGAATAATAGAATAATAAAGTTGGAAGAGGCCTTGGAGGTCTTCTAGTCCAACCCCCTGCTCAAGCAAGAGACCTTATACCAGGGGTAGGTAACCTTGGTTCTTTTATGACTCGTGGACTTCAACTCCCAGAATTCCTGAGCCAGCCATGCTGAGGGGAAAGGGAGAGGTTTCCAAGCTGAGCCATGCTGGCTCAGGAATTCTGGGAGTTGAAGTCCACGAGTCATAAAAGAGCTGAGGTTGCCTACCCCTGCCTTATACCATTCCAGACAAGTTGCTGTCCAGTCTCTTCTTGAAAGCCTCCAGTGATGGAGCACCCACAACTTCTGAACTCCAAGAGTCTTTTCTCTGTCTGTTTGCTGCTATTCTCTCCCTCCCTCCCTCCCTCCTATGCCCCACTGTAATTTCGGCTCTGTATGAAGGAGATTTTGATTATAAAACTATGCTGCAGCATCATTAGATTTTATTTTAATGAAAATGTAGATGGGAGACCAGCTGAGAACTTTACAGGCTAGCCAGCTTCTGTGGAAAGATGTAGCATTGAAAAAAGTGACTTATGACCATCACAGCAGCCCCATGGTCACGTGATCAAAATTTGGCAACCAGCTCATGTTTATGACAGTTACAATGTCCAAGATCGTGTGATCACCTCTTGTGAACTTCTGCCGAGGAAAGTCAATGTGGGAGCCAGATTCACTTAATAACCTGCTACTAACTTAATCACTGCAGAGATTCCCTTAACAACTGTGGGAAGAATGGTCTAAGATGGAGCAAAACTTACTTAACAACTATCTTGCTTAGCAACAGAAATTTGGGGCTCAGTTGTGGTCATAATTCGAGGACTTCTTGTATGTTATCACCTCTTTACACCAGAGATCTCATGTGTGCCTCCTGAGGACTCGGTCCCAAAAAAGTATGTAAGGAGTTAAAAATGAAATAAATATGCTAAATTTTTGGATTGCTAACAAAGAATTAAAGGGAGACTGGTATAGCTATTTCGAGCTAATTAGCTCTGATCAGCCAGACATACCCTTCTGAGATTCGAACCTGGTTCTTCTTCCCATATTGGGCCGAGAGGGTGCGTAAAAAAACAACACTCAAAACATATGTATGTATGTATGTATGTATATATACATTCATACATACATACATATATTTAGTTGTTACTGGATTGAGAGGTTAGGTCACTTTTTTCTGAGGAGAAAGATTACCCCCAGAACCTTTTTCTTATTTATTTTTCCTTCTTTCTTGTCTTTATTCCTTCCTTTGCCCAGGATTGAAATCTTGTTTGCTTGCTTATTTATTGCCTTTTGTACTTCTTACTCTGCAGAGAAATCCTGGGAAAACAGGGAGTCCATGTCTGCCATTTGTCTGGGCTGCCTTCTCCTTCCTTCGTTTTAGATAGCCCACTGTTCTGAACCATCTTTTCTATTGAGTCTCGCCATTTCACTTTCCCACTTCCCTGCTCAGAGAGCCTGGTGCCGGCTCAGAGTTGGATGCCCATCATAGAGTAATTTGCGGGTTGCCACAGAGTGGCACTATACAGTATGAGCTTGTGATTCTGATTCTGTGGCTCAGCTTATAATAGCAATAGCACTTAGACTTATATCCTGCTTCACAGTGCGTTACAGCCCTCTCTAAGCGGTTTACAGAGTCAGCATATTTGCCCCCAACAATTTGGACCCTCATTTTACTGTGTGTGTGGAAGACTGCTGGATCAGGCCAAAGCGCCTCTGGGTAGAGCTCAGCATCCTGTTCTTTCCTAGTAGTGTTCTCGGCACCTCCAAAGTACGGTGGTAGGGTGCAGAGGCCTGCATAGAGACCTTACTGTCCATAAGTACAGGTAGTCCTCACTTAAGACTCTAAACCAGGGGTAGGCAATCTTGGCTCTTTTACGACTCGTGGACTTCAACTCCCAGAATTCCTGAGCCAGCATGGCTGACTTAGGGATTCTGGGAGTTGAAGTCCACGAGTCATAAAAGAGCCAAGGTTGCCTACCCCTGCTCTAAACTGTACCGACAATGCCAGTTGCTGCAGTTCCAGTTGCTGTCGTTAGGCAAATCCCACATGGTCACAGCATCCTGCGGCCACATGATGACCATTTACAACCTCCTGATGGCTTCCCCATTGACTTTGCTTGTCAGAAGCTGGCAGTGAAGGTTGCAAATGGGGATCATGAAGAGCAGTGGTGGCGTAGTAGCAAGAATGCAGTGTTGCAGGCTAATGCTGCCGACTGCCAGCAGTTTGATCCTGTCTGGCTCAAGGTTGACTTAGCCTTCATTCTTTCCCAGGTTGGTAAAATGAGGATCCAGATTGTTGGGGGCGATACTCTTGACTCTGTAAACCGCTTAGAGAGCGGTTTATACTATGAGGCAGCATATAAGTCTTAAGTGCTGTTGTTACTGCCATTACTATCACGTGACCATGGGATTCTGTGAACGTTGTAATTGCGAGCCACTCGCCAAGCACCTGGGTTGCATCAGGTGATTGCAGGGGTGGTGCTACAGCTGCAAGTACTGCAACTATAAATCCTCTTGCTGAGAACTGTCCTGACTTTGAGTGGTTGCTG